CCTACATCGTCTATTATCGAGTTAGGTGATGTTGATGTCTCGATGGTCACTGGCTCGATTGTTAGTTTAGTTATGGGTGTGTCTTCATCATCTATAAATGCCAAATCAATGGTTGGTGAATTTAATTTAGATGTAGCAGTGTCTACATTGTATGTTGGTGAGTTAGGTGATGCTGACGTCTCCATGGTGACTGACTCAATTGTTAGTTTAGAGATGTGAGTGTGTCCTTCATCTATAGATGCCAAATCAGTGACGAGTGAGTTTGATTTAGATGTAGTGGTGTCTAAACGTTCTGTGGTTATGTTAGGTGATGTTGATGACTCCATGGTGATTCCATCAATTGTTAGTTTAGATATGGGTGTGACTTCTTTATGTACAGATGCCAAATCAGTGGTTAGTGAGTTTGATTTAGATATAATGGTATCCACACTTACTGTTTCTGTGTTAAGTGATGTTGACTCTCCATGGTGACTGGTTCAATTGTTAATTTAGATATAGATGTTTCTTTATCTATTGATGCCGATTCAGTGGTTTGTAGGCCGGATATTGATATATTGGGGCCTACATTGTCTGTTGTTGAGTTAGGTGACATTGACGTCTCCATGGTGGCTTGATCAATTATTAGTTTGGATGTGGATGTTTCTTCTTCATCTACTAATGCCACATCAGTAGTTAGTGAGTTCAATATTGATGTAGTGGTGTCCACACTGTCTGTTTTTGAGTTGGATGGTGTTGACGACTTCATGGTGACTGGCTCGCTTGTTAGTTTAAATACTGGTGTGTCTACTACATCTATAGATTTCACTTCAGTGAGTGGTGAGTTCATTATTGATGTAGTGGTATCTACATTGTCTATTATCGAGTTAGGTGATGTTGATTTCTCGATGGTGACTGGCTCGATTGTTAGTTTAGATATGGGTGTGTCTTCATCGTCTCTAAATGCCAAATCAATGGTTGGTGAATTTAATTTAGCTGTAGTAGTGTCTACACTGTATGTTCTTGAGTTAGGTGATGCTGACGTCTCCATGGTGACTGGCTCAATTGTTAGTTTATATATGTGTGTGTGTTCTTCATCTATAGATGCCAAATCAGTGAATAGTAAGTTTGATTTAGATGCAGTGGTGTCTGCACTGTCTGCTGATGAGTTAGGTGATGTTGACGTCTCTATGGTGACTGGCTCAATTGTTAGGTTAGATTTAGATGTGTTTTCTTCATCTAAAGATGCCAAATCAGTGACGAGTAAGTTTGATTTAGATGTAGTGGTGTCTAAACGTTCTGTGGTTGTGTTAGATGATGTTGACGTCTCCATGATGACTGGCTCAATTGTTAGTTTAGATATTGGTTTGTCTTTTTCATCCATAGATGTCACTTCAGTGGTTGCTGAGTTCAATATTGATGTGGTGGTGTCTACATTGTCTATTGTTGAGTTAGG